CACATGATTGAACGAAATATAATTGTTTCAGAAATTCTAAATTGATACCGATGTTTTATTGGTCAAAAAACGTACGAGCATAAAATAAGATGACAGCATAATGTGAAAAAAATTGGATAGAGCAATGCCTATATTTACAAACATTTATATAGTAAATCATCCTAATTAGGCCTGCTTCAGATTACTTCGTTTTTTCTTTGGTGAGTGATGACAGTCTGCAAGCTCTATATATTGACTTTCCCTTCATCTTACTGAAGTGTTTCCACCGTTCCTGGGCTTCCTTCTCGCAATTTTTCCCTGGATTTTTGAAAACCCCCATGGTACGCAATATTGTTGCCCGTCAAAATAAATAAAGGACATAAGTTTTAATTACATTACGTTATAGCAACAAAGCATTATAGGACGAACCTTAACATATAAACATGTCACAAGTGCATCCAAAGATTTTGGAAATTCTTTGATGTCAGCAGAAACTTCATGCATTTCATTTCTTACATAACGTAAGACATAGCCTTTAGGGCTATCAAGATTGGTTTCATAATGACTGCAACTGAAATATAAAAGATTTTCTTTTAAAAAGAATGAGAAACTAACCAGAATGGATAAATCCAGGAATAACAAGCTGCCTAACTTTTTCTTCATCAAATTTTATTCTTCTTGCCAGCGATCAAATATGTCTTTTAATTGTCGCGGAAGACTAAATCCTGATTCTGATAAATTTCGTGCCACTCCACTCGCCCCTTCCCAGCGATACCCAGACTCTGATACCGCCCAGTCCATCACCTGTGGACCTACAGATCTAACAAACACATCTCCCTTTTTGCCAATTATTTTCCGCTTCATTCGAGTCTCATTGCTGAGCCTATATCTATTTTCCGTTCACTTGTTGCAACACCAGCAACTTAGACAAAAAAAAAAATAAAATAAATATAATCTGTATAAAACTTGTAATGACTAGGGATGGTAACGGTCGGTCAGAGGCCTTTGACCGACCGACCGGTTATATTGACCGGTTGACCGGCCCATATAACAATAGTATAATTTAAAGTTCTTGATCGATAAGCTTTAAATAATACTAACATGGTATTTGCTAAAATTCAATTTTTTTATATATTTTACTTATTTCTTTTAGGCTAACTCGATATGCATATTAAGTTTACTATCATATTTACATCATTATCGCGAACTTTTTTTAAAAATAAATTAAAAATTTTTATTTATAAAAAATTACATAACTAAAATGATTGTTAATTAAATGCAAAGAATTCTTTGATTACTAAACTAATTAAAAATGTTTGGTCAACCGGTCGGTCAGAAACCTTTGAGGATAAGGAGTTACTTACCCAACTACAAAAACGTGTGGAATATCGCCGAAAACATTGTCTACTGCTCGCCAAACATTGAAACGGTACCAACCTTCTGGCCAATGGATTGGGGGTCTTTTCAATGAGCCTGACCCTGAAATAAAACAAAATATACTAACATATAGCAAAATTCTTTTAATTGCTTACCAATCGCCCACAGTAGCCTTAACATAATCCGAATGCTTGGATCGTACTTCTTTCCAAGATCAACGTGTGGACGGTTAAGTTCTTCACGAATTTCGTGTGTTGATGTCTGTCAGAAAAATCAACTCTGGTTAGAGGGTTTAGATGTGCAGAAGTAAATAAAAAAAATTCAACAAACTTTTGCGAATGTGCTAATAAAGCTTATCAGTTCCGGTTCCAAATCTGGCAAGTCACTCAAATTCGTTGTACAAATTTCTTCTAGCTTTTCTTGTGTAAAAGCCGATCGCGTAAATTTATCCTCAATGTCAAAAAATGATAGAATGCACCAGGCTGATAAATCAATGTTAATGTGCTATGCATTAGAAATCATATATAAATGCACTTACTGATGGTAATTGCAGTGCTTTCCCAGTTTATACATCACATCTTCCTTAGCCTCCACTTTTTCTCTGTGATCATCGATTTGTATCTGTACATATAAATAGTTGGATGTTAAAGGTCTCAAGCGGAATGTAGTAATTACCCGTCTTGATTTCAGGAAGACATAATTAGTAGGATGGATATCATACTGTTTCGAAAATCGGGCGCGATCCAATGCTGTAAATTCCGAACGTCCATTAGACTCCTCATTGGTCTATAGATTATACAAATATTTAATACTAAGACAGTAGCAACAAAACACGAGTTCATCATCAACAACATCATCATTTTCGAAGTCATTGACAGGATTGTCCGGTATATCCGCTTCTTCTGATTCCGTTTTGCTTGCATTGGCAACGAAATCGTCATTATCCCACACTTTAGTATTTTCTTTATGTTTCACTCGAGTCCGTGTAGACTTCAAAACGATGATGAAAGATTAGAGAATTTAGCTGCAAGGAAGGTGAAAAATATTTAACTACATTCTCTTTCTCAACTTCACTTTCGACGATTTCATCACCCGCTCTTTCATCATTATCATTTGATACCAAAAACGGGTTGTCCAAAATGTCCGCATTTGTTTCTCGAGATTCACATTAAGCGTTAATCACAAATATAAGAAATGACTTTTGAGAACAATACCACTTACACATATCTTCTTTTTCGGGCAGAATTCGCTTCAATTTCTAAATCACAGAAGTGTCTGTATAAGTTTATTTCTAGTATTTTCAAAGCTGCTTTATCTTACCTTTCGAATTCTGGTGTCTAAATCTTGTAAAGCAGTATCAGAGTAGTCCTCCGA